ACACAGGTCCAGTGGAAGAGCAGCCAGTGCTCTCAACCGTTGAGCCATCGCCCCAGCCCCTTTTATTCTGTCTCATTTGTGGTGCAGAGGATGGCACCCCGGGCCCTGTGCACGCTAGGCACGTGTTCAGCCACAGGGCTACGCATCCAGGCTCCTGGAGTTCATTTTTAAACTCTGAGCACGCAGAACTCCTGATCCACCTCTGTGTTTGCCAGCTTTACCGGGGAAGCCCATCTGTGGGTGGGAGGGGGAAGAATGGCCCATCAGCCAGCATGGTGCCCTCCGTCCAGAGGCAGGCTGAGCCTCCTCACCCACCTTGTGGCACATCGGCCTAACTGCAGGCATGGCTCTTGGAAAGTGGGCTCCAGAAACCCAAATGTGCAGTAGGGCGTGTCCTGAAAACTCGTTTGCTTTTCTTCTTTTTCTAAACATCTGCTGCGAGTTTTGTCCTAAAGGATCATAGGCTCCAAATTAGTAGAGTCAAAATTAATGAGACTTTCCATCAATAAGCCTGAGAATAAAACGATGGAAAATCTACTAATTATAGAGCAGCCAGCAGCCACCAAAGCACAACTTGGACCCAGGCCTCTGAGAAGAGGGAGATGCAGGAGCCAGGGAGACCCCAGATGGAAGCCAACCTGTGGGGCTAGCCTGCCTGTGCCTCTGCCCTTGCCCCTGGACATGGAGACTCGGCACCCAGCGCTCCCTGCCTCCTGAGCACCCCTCCCGGGCCAGGCTGTGCCAGGGCTGGCTTCTGAGAAATGTGTAAAATCTTCGAGCCAAATTCCTGGAACCTCCAAAATAAGGCCTGGCATGGAGGTGGGGGCCTGTTTTCTGTGAGGGGGCTGTTTTCTGCTCAGTGCTGGGAAGCTGCTGGCAGGGGAAGGTGGCGTGGAAAAGGAAGAAGGGTAGAAAAGGCAGACCAAATGCCCTCCGTACCCTAGCCTGTGGATTTCCTTCTTCATCTCTTTATCAGTGTTTGTAACTGAGCTTCTTATCAACAGGAAACGCCTGCCTGAAGGGATGAGGCAGGTCCAGGGGGACTGGATGCCAGAGACTGGGAATTCTGGGTACTGCCTTGCTGCTGGTCAGCCTGACTGGGCTGCCTTGGGATTTCCAGGATTCAGACTCATTGCCCTGGCATCCAGTGAAGGCTGTAATGTAGACTTCAACAGGGACCCCAGGCTGGAATGTCTATAGAGGGGAGCCCAGAGAGGGCTCCCAGTCCCAAGCCTCAGTGCCCAAGGTCACTCTAACGTGAGAACTATCTTAACAGCCAAGACCCCTCCTTCCCAGACGAGATGCCAAGGACCTGCCAAGGTCATGAACAGCTTGGTGACAATCATCCCAACCAGCCCTTTTGGGAGGGTGCTTGCCCCCGAGCCCCTAACTGGCACCAGTGTGGGACAGCCAGATGCTCAGCATCGGCTTGCTGCTGGCAGGGGAGGAAGGAGGGAACGGGCACACACTGGGTTCTCCCTGCCCGCTACTGGCCATGGTGGCACGCTCGTGTGATCTGAGCACTTGGGAAACTGAGGCAGGATGGTGGAATGTTTGTCATCAACCTGATCAATGTAAGGAGAAAAGCATCAATTCTAAACTGTCTTAAAAAAATCATCAAACTGGGATTCTGATGGGTCAGAGAGGTCTTCCAGGGGAGTGGCAGGCTGAGGGTTAGATCTGTTGCCCCAACGGGATTATCTGGGGGCAAGCAAGGCTTTCCCGGTGGCTCAAGCCCAGGTTGATCTATTCATCTGCCTGTCTTCTTCCTCCTCCTCCTTCTCCTTCCAAGCTGTCAGAGGACTGAACACTCAGCCAGGCGGGTCTGGTAGCAGAGGGAGGAAGGGAGCTGAGGTTCCTGAATCTTTCACCTTTCCAGCTGCCCTTGAGCAGCCAGCCGGGCTGTTGGGGACGATAACCGACCCGTCCCAGCTTCCCACCGCTGTGTCTGCCCCGGATCCCGCAGTCAGGATGTAGGTCAACACGAGTGGGTGGGTGAGAAAGAAGAGACTCATCCGGCTCGACACCCCTCAGGGCAGCAGAGTGGCAACACTTGAACCTGGAAACTGCCTGAAAATAGACAGCGTGTCTATGACATTATGCAAATTGTATGCAAAGTCAAGGAGCGTTCTGCCTCTATTTCTAGCAAACTGAATGTGGCCCTGGTAGGAGCAGCTTGTTTCAGGAGTCGTTCACCGGGAGCGAAGACTGCACAGCTACCGGGAGTCCCAGCGCTGGGCCACTGGACTGGACACACGACCCCCCCACCCCCACCCCAGGGAGGGCTTTCAAAGCATGCAGATTTTGTCATCCCTTGGGCTGTAAATCATTTCTTTGATTTGATCTCCCAAGGGCTGGGATTGCGGATGTGCGCCGCCACACCTGCCGTTAGGATGTTGATCTTAACGCAGGGTAAGCCAGAGGCGCAGGGTCCCCTCCCTACAGGCTACTGTGCGGCAGGACTGTGAAGGATGGAGCCTGAGAAGGAAAGGCTCTGTGCATGAGGGCCTGGCTACCAAGAGGCATTGGCGGAGGAAGGGATGAGCACGGGTATTTAGGCTCACGCTGCGGGGGCTACCTTCACACCACGCGGCGTGCCGTGGCACCGATCACCTCTTGGGGAGGGACAGAAATGCTCACTGTACGTATGTATGTATGTAATGAGGAAGCTGGAGGCTGGGGTCACGGAGGAAATCAATGTGGCCCAGCGCTTGGGCTGCGGTGGCCTGGCAAGGCCTCTTCCAACAGCGTGGTGATGGGGCCGTCCTGCCAGAGCCTGCCCAGCCCACGCGGAAGTGTTGCGGGTTTCCCACTGCCCTCTCCCCAGCCCTCACCCACACTGTGGTCATCCGGGTGCCAGTAGGGCTGCACGGCCTTGTGGGCCCGGAAGAAGGGAAAGGTAGAGGCTAGAACGCCGTCAGCACCCCGTCATCTACAGGCTCTGTGTGTGTGCCAGGGAGGAGGACCCCGGCCCCAGTGCAGGAGGCTGCAGGGCTGCACCCGCTTGGAGGCATGGGGAGTAGACCAAATGGCCAACCTCAGAAGAAACTGGGGCGCCCTCCCTGTTTCCCTCTTGTTAGAGAGTTTGTATCTCTGGGTTGGACAGCTCCGAAAGGCTTCCTTCGGTACTCGGCCCCTACTCTTTGTCCCACTCCTCCAGTGGCACGTCGCTCACAATTTCCCGGGTGGGGCGGGGTGGGGAAGGTGCTCTCTGAGGTGTCCAGTTAAGGGGGTGTCTTCATTTTGGGGATGTGGACTAATTCCAGACAAGGGCTGGGGCGCACCTGAGGGCGGAACTAAGAAGGAGCTACCACGGAGGCGCCAAGCTGCCTCTGAGTAAGGTCGCAGAAAGCTCCTCGGCTAGGTGTGGTTTCCAGGCACCGGCCCTGCAGCCCAGAACAGCTGAGCGCATGCACAAGGCGGCACGCACGCAGCAGCGGGGGCGGGCCCCCGCGGATGGGAGGAGCCAGCGCGAAGGGAGCTGGGCAGGCGCGGGCAGCGCGTTGGCCAGCAGAGGGCGACGTGGCCGTAGTGGATCAGGCTGCCGAGCATCTCCGGTGGGATCTGAGGTCTGAGCCTCTGAGCTGTTCTAGGTATGGGGCGTTCTAGAGCGGCCTTGTTCGAGGGCAGTTTGTGCTGTGTACTTTGGGACACTCTACCTCCCATCCCCAACAACTCCCTTTGGTCCTCTGCAACCGGATCAGTGAGGAGGCACTAGCCTAGAAGACATGGCAGAAACTCAGGGGTCAGACACGGTTTATCGAGAACCTATGGCAGGCGAAGTGCTCCCATAAACCGTATCTCTTAAGTACGGAGAGGTAGGTTCCGCTCACACAGCTTCACTTGGAGCGTTTGGAGACAGCTGTCACTTAGAGGGCCCCTTTCCTGCCGTCCCCCCTGTCACTCAGCCGCCTCTCCCAGGATCTCCTGGCCTTGGAGGAGCTGCTGTCTTCAGTTTCTGCCCGTGGAGTCCAAGGAGGAATTTCTTCCTAAGTCTAGTAGAAATAAAATCCTTCAGTCAAGAAAGCAATGCCCTGGCTCCGGTGACCGGAGAACCTTCAGATTCTGTCTGACTGTGCTAGGAAACGCTGGTCTACTTTCTGTTTCCACCTTGTTTCACTTCCTGGTTCTGCTTAGTCCTGATGCGCTTGAGAAAGCCAGGAGTACAGACCCCAGGAGCCCAGGGGGTCACGGTGTGTGTGCAGCTGGATGCGACGTTTTTTCCTCCCTTCAATGGCCGAGAGTTTCTAGGCCAGGTCTTCCCGAGATGGAGGCTGATTTTGCCTCTTGCCTGAGCCCTGCCCTACCCTCCTCAAGCCTTGCCTCCAACCCGATTTTCCTCAGCCCAGCATCCAGTCTCACTCATTCAGCACACGGGTACACACCCACCACACGTCTAAACGCCAGACTTTTACTGTCTTTCTAGGCCAGGCTCGCCCGAGGTACGCTTTCTGGGACCTGGCCTTGGGTGTGTGTGGGGGGTGGGGCTCTGGCCAGAGAGTCAAGGCCAGGAAGGGGCAGAACCCTGGTCGCTGGAGGCTTCTTGACAGGGGCCAAGTTTCTTTTCAGTCTTAAAGACCTTGAAGGAAGCCACCCAAAGAAGGCCAAGCCACAGGAGGTCCAAGGCTGCCTTAAGACACTAGCATTGCCTAAGGCAAGAAAGAACCGTGCTTGGAGACTAGGCCAGGGGGCACTTTAGGGCACCTTGGACTCTAATAGTTACTTACAAACCCTGGCTTGGGCAAGTGACAGAGAGGGGGTGCAGCAGGCAAGACTGATTTGGTGTGAGCTTTCACACAGGGTCCGAGATGCCTCAAAGGATGCCAGGACCAAACCTGAGATCCTAAGATGGTGAAGTCCTCTCTGTCAGGTGGAGAGATGCTGAATCTCTCCCACCACATATGACCTTCCTCCTCCTCGGGGGACCCTTGGGTTTAGATGCCCTAACGAGCCAGCCGACTGGTAAAGGGACAGAGGGTAGAAGGATCAGGTACCACCTCTCCCAAGAGACTAGCATTTACTAGTGGGGGTGAGGGGTGGGGTAGTCAGGAAGACTGGAAGGCATTGGAGAAGTGATAAACACCCACAGAGAGAAACTGAGGCCAGGGTGCTGAGTATCTCCGGCTGAGCCTAGGCAGGGCAGAGCATCTGCTGAAGCTGGACATGGCCCTGCGCCATCCTATCGGCTCCCATGGGGCAGTAAGGCTGACCAAGGATAGGATCCGGGCTCGGGATCCCCTGGCTTGGCCACCCTGCCTGGGGAGTGGTAGGGGGTGTGCCCTACTGGCCTTGGGATGGATGGGGAGCCCAGCCAGGCGTCAGAGAGCCGGCCACTTTGAGCAGGCCAGACGGAGGCAGATCGGATTTCAGCCCAGCTGTATTTTTGGCCGGCTGAGCTGGGGCCATGCTGGGCAGGCACGCACAGGGCAGCGTGCACGCTCACACTACCTCCACCCAGACAGCCTTCTCCACCACATGCGTCAGGCAGAGGAAGTCCAGGGACCCTGGGCTACTGAGTCACTTTGGGCTTCTCTGGGTTGTGGCTGAGCTTCTGCAAAGTCTTCTTGATGCGCAGCGCCGTGAGGCGAGCAGAGGGGTTGGGGTACCAGCACTCCCGCATCATCTGGGCCAGCCCGGAGAGGACCTAGGGGCGGGAAAGAGGCAGAGAGGACGTGCATGCATCAGGAAGGTGGGAGGATGGGCGGGGTGCGGAGGCAATGGCTCCGTTATGGGAGGCATAGCAGGAGAGAGGACAGGAAGAGGGTGTGCTGGACAGGAGGGAGAAAGGCAAGAAAGAAAGGCAAAAGAGGACCCGGAGCTGGGCGGTGGTGGCGCACACCTTTAATCCCAGCACTCAGGAGGCAGAGGCAGGCGGGTCTCTGAGTTTTGTGGCCAACCTGGTCTACAGAGTGAGTTCCAGGGCAGCCAGGGCGAGATAGACCCTGGCTCAAAAAATGAAGAGAAAGAGAGAGAGAGAGAGAATATGGAGGGGAGGAGGAGAGGATGAGGAGGAAAGGCTAAGTGGAAGAAGAGGGAAGTAGAGTGAAAAAGATGGTGGCAGAAAAAAAGCAGAAGAGCACAGGAGAGTGTGGAGGTCTTTGAGAGCCCACAGACACCCCAGGGAACAGCCTCTGTGGAGCATCGGGCTCACCCCACCCCCGGGACTCACTGTGAAGGCTATTTCTGCAAGCTTCTGTTGCCTCCTGCACCCTGGGACCTAGTGCCCAGAGTGCCCACTCCCAGGCCCAGCCATGGCTGAGATGTGGCAACCGTGGGCATTGCCCAAAAGTACCTGTCTCCAGGAAGGAGCCCATCCCAGGGATCGCTGGCTCCTCTGAAAGGCATCTGTGTGGTCTCTTAAGTATACACGAATATGTTTTTTTTATCTCTCAGTAAAAATTTCGTTGAGTTTTAGTATATGCCAGGCACTGAGGAGCTGACAGAAATCTTAGAGTGAGAAGCAGGAGATCACTTCTTGGAAAGATGGGGGGTTGAGTGGGAGGGAGAAAGGATGAGCGAGGATAACGAAGGCATACAGTCAAAATACATGGTGTTTGTGTGAAAGTGGAAGAGGAAATCAGGTTTTGTTTGCTTGCTTTTGTTTGTTTTGTGTTTTGAGACAGGGTTTCTCTGTGTAGCCCTGGCTCTCCTGGAACTCACTCTGTAGACCAGGCTGGCCTTGAACTCAGAGATCCATCTGCCTCTGCCTCCTGAGTGCTGGGCTTAAAGGCATGCACCAACACACCCAGCAAAGAAATAATTTTTTAAAAAGGAGCAAGCTGGGCATGGTGACAAACACCCCTAATCCCAGCCCTCGGGAGGCAGAGGCAGGTAGGTGTACTTCTCTGAGTTTGAGGTCAGCCTGGTCTACACAGTAAGCTTCTCGCTAGCCAGTGCTACATAGTAGGACTCCTGTCTCCAAAAAAGAAAAAAAAAGGTGAGAGAAAAACACAGTTTTTGTCCTCATGGTGCCAAGAGTCTGCCTACATGTGTAAATGTGTACATGTCTGGGAGTGAATGTTCAGAAGCATTTACAAATTTGTATGTAATATATATATATATATATATATATATATATATATATATATATATATAATGTATATTTTATATACATGTATTTCTTTAAGTGTGGAATGTCTTGAGAAAAAAATTAAAATCAACAACAAAAATTGGATAGGAGAAATTTAGCAGAGACCCTCTGATTCTTGCACGTGAGGTAGAAGGTTCTAAAAATCTCAGATTGGACCAAAAGGGTCACCCAGGACAACCCAAGATCTATCCAAGAAGCAGAGGCTGCCGATCCACCATCCTGAACCCAGAAATTCCAGCTGAGATCAATCCCCATCCATGCCAGCCCCGCCCAGCCAGCCCCGCCCAGCCAGCCCCGCCCAGCCAGCCCCTCCCGGGCCTTACCGGATCTGCAGCTAGCCGGTTAGGGATGGTGGGCGTCTGTTGGTCAATGCACACCACCTTTTTCATGTCCTCAAAGCTGGGGTCGTTGGGCACCATGTCGTAGAAGGGTGGCCTGTAGTCCTCCACAATGCCTGGGGGTTCGAGGGAGACAGGATGGTCACTTGGGACTCAGGTGACCAGAGAGCCTCTGTCCGAAGGGACCTGGAGCTTACTGCTCCTGAGCGGGATCCTATCCTATCACATAATAACTGTATGTACAGCTCGTGTTGCTGTCTGTGTTTTGCACAGAAGCACAAGATTTGGGTTGCCTAGCCAGTCAGGACAGAGTCGGGACCCGAACCCTGTCTTGTTGGCTTGCCAGGCTAGGTCTCATTGCCATCTTGCTCAGCTGTCTTCCGTGCTGGGCCTGGGTGACACTCTCCTGCTGGTGCCTGCTTACACTGGTGGCTGGCGCTCCAGAGCACTTCTTGTGTGCCAGGCGAGGCCCTTAGTGCCTCCACCTCACAAAGCACAACGGTGGATCCAGAGGTTCAAGAACCTTGTCTCTAAGGATCAACAGGTAGCAAGTGACAGAGGCGGCCATAAGGAAGAAATCCAAATCCCATGATCCTGACTCTCAGCTGCATCTATTGTAGAGCTGGATAAGGCTTGGAACAGGGACAGCGAAGGACAGAAAAAACACCTCTCCTAGAAGCAAAAGGCTTATTCCTCGGTCCAAATAACATCTCCTTATATCAGGGAAGGCTCTGCAGACCCCACAGCCAACAGCACCCTTACCGCGTCATCCTGAGGGCCTCTAACTAGGAGCCTCTTTGAAAGGTGAGCCTGCGGGCTCAGAGGCAGCCCCCAGCCTCTTCCTGCTTCCCAACCCCAGGCTGCTTCTGTGACCACGTTAGGCCATAACCTCAATGAAGCCTTCAGCAGCTGTTCTCCCCATGGCGGGCTTCCAGGCCGCCCCTGGGCCGCTGGCGCCCTAATCAGTGATTTGCAGAGCCCTGAGCGTGTCTAATGAGCCTTTAATCAGTGCCGGGGCTGACACCAGATTACAGTGTTTATAATTCGCTAGGAGTCTGTGTGGGGCTGACAGAGCTTCCCCTCCGCCCCAGCAGCCCTGGGCAGATCCATCAGCCCTTCCTTCCCTGCCTGCTGCCAGGCCAGCTCTTCGGTTTCCCCAGCTCCACAGAGCTGACTCCAGCAGTACCGCCCAGGGTCTGGAACCCCCGGGCTCTCTCTAGGAGGGACTGGTGACACCTAGGTCTCTGCTGTCTACAGACGACCACTGAGGAAGAATGACGTTGCAAAAGGCTGGCTCCTGGATGCCCAGGAAATGAGCACATCTCTGTTCCCAAGTAGCAGGGCACCAGTCGTGCCCTGGGGGTTGTCTGTAAACTTTCAGACTCCCAGAAACCCTGGTCAGAGACTGTCCCCATGAAGGCTAATGTGGCAGCTAGCTGTCCAGTCACCTATGGTCTCTCATCTACCCCAGCTGACAGGCCGTCAACCACGGGCCAGCGTAGGCCAGCACAGGACTACACAGGACTACACAGGACTACACAGGCCAGCACAGGACTACACAGGACTACACAGGACTACACAGGACTACACAGGACTACACAGGCCAGCACAGGACTACACAGGACTACACAGGCCAGCACAGGACTACACAGGACTACACAGGCCAGCACAAGACTACACAGGACTACACAGGCCAGCACAGGACTACACAGGACTACACAGGACTACACAGGCCAGCACAGGACTAGACAGGACTGCACAGGACTACACAGGACTACACAGGACTACACAGGACTACATAGGACTACACAGGACTACACAGGCCAGCACAGGCCAGCACAGGACTACACAGGCCAGCATAGGACTACACAGGACTACACAGGACTACACAGGACTACACAGGCCAGCACAAGACTACACAGGACTACACAGGACTACACAGGACTACACAGGCCAGCACAGGACTACACAGGCCAGCACAAGACTACACAGGACTACACAGGACTACACAGGACTACACAGGCCAGCACAAGACTACACAGGACTACACAGGACTACACAGGCCAGCACAGGACTACACAGGCCAGCACAGGACCACACAGGCCAGCACAGGACTACACAGGCCAGCATAGGACTACACAGGCCAGCATAGGACTACACAAGACTACACAGGCCAGCATAGGACTACACAGGCCAGCATAGGACTACACAGGACTACACAGGACTACACAGGACTACACAGGACTACACAGGCCAGCACAGGACTACACAGGACTACACAGGACTACACAGGACTACACAGGACTACACAGGCCAGCACAGGACTACACAGGCCAGCATAGGACTACACAGGCCAGCATAGGACTACACAGGCCAGCATAGGACTACACAGGACTACACAGGACTACACAGGACCACACAGGCCAGCATAGGGCCACACGGGCCAGCACAGGGCCACACGGGCCACACAGGGCCACACGGGCCAGCACAGGGCCACACAGGCTGTTTTTCCATGTTAATGTTCTTCCGTAGCGAGCCACTATGTTGATGAGGCTGCAATAGACGCCAGATAGCTTGCATGTGAGCAAAGACATCAAGGACCGGCGTTTAGTTGCCACAGTGATGGCGCACTGGCCCAGGATCAGATATTCTGGCTTAAGGTGTTGCCGACAGCGAGCCGTAGCCCTGCGCTTCTGTCCCTTTTCTTATCAAGTGGAGCCATAATGCGGGAATGCTTTCACGATGGCCGCTAGTGTTTAGAGCTCGGCACTGTTTGCGTAGCCCTGGCTGGCCTCCGTGTACACCAGGGTGCCCTTGAACTTGGAGCAGTCTTTCTTCTGCCTCCCAAGTACCGAGATCTCACATGTGGGCCACTACGCCAAGCTTCTAGCTGCTCTAAATACTTAATTTGGATCATCTCTGCAGCTACACTTAATTTTTAAAAACTTCTTACTTCACAAACGAGGAAGCAGGCACAGCGAAGCCGAGAGCTCACCGTCACAAACCTGAAACCGAATCCAGGCAAGCGGACTGCCCAGTCCACCTCCCACCAGCATGGGGGAGCTCACATTTAACTCCATGGACGCTGGCTTTGCTGCCTCCCTGCCCCACCACGCCCCCACACTCAGGAGCGAAGCCCGTGGCCTTGAACACCCTAGGCAGGCACCCTGCCACCTTGCTGTATTCCCAGCTCTGAATATTTATGGATTTTTTTCATCTCTTGCTCAAGATTTCAAGGCCAGATACAGAGGATCAGATGAACCTTCGAGGTCCATCTGTGCTGAGCGAGTTGATGCACAGCAGGAAAGGGATGCCTGGAGACCAGGCCTCAAACCCTCAGGCTCCGGCCACCAAGGAAACCCGGTGTCCGTATGTCTCTCTGTCTCTCTCTCACACACACCCTGCACATGGCGGCCCTCACCATTAATGACGGTCCGACGGGCGATCTCCCACAGCACTAGGCCGAAAGCCCAAATGTCCGTCCACTTGTAGGACTCGAAGCAGTCAGTGCGGATGTGCTCGCTCAGCACCTCGGGCGCCATGTACCTCTTGGTTCCCACTCGGGGGTTGTTGCCGATGTCCAGGTAGTCGCTCGTCTGCGAGTGCATCACAGCCAGGCCTGTGGGGGTTTGGCCTGTCAGCCCTGCGGGGCTCCCACACGGGCGGCCACCCCCACACCGGGAAGCCCGGCAGATACGGTGAGGATGGAAGCAGATGAAGGTAGACCAGCAGGGCAGTGGAGCCGGTGGCCAGAGAGAGCACCTGTCCCTTGTGCCCTTCGCCCTAGAGTATTCCCAAGGAACTCAGCAGGCAAAGTAGGCGTTACGGTGCCCTTTCACATAGTAGGACTTGGAGTTGGTTGGAAGGAGCCTTGTTCTCAGAGAGGTCAGGCTGACTCCCTGCCCATTTTCTGGAGGTAAAGTGAACCGTGGAAGGAGGCTGGGCTGGAAACAGTTTTGAGACAGGGTCTTTCTGGTTAGCCCTGGCTCTCCTGGAACTCACAATGTAGACCAGGCTAGCCTGGAACTCAGAGACCCACCTGCCTCTGCTCCTGAATGCTGGGGTTCAAGTCCAGGTTTGGAAACAGGTTTTAAAGCACTGATTCTCTCCCCTACAGAAACAGGCCGAGCAGAGCAAGCAAGCCCCGCCCAGCCGCGAAGCCCCGCCCAGCCGCGAAGCCCCGCCCAGCCGCGAAGCCCCGCCCAGCTGCGAAGCCTGCCCCCTGGCTCCTGCTCACCCAGGTCTGCGATGCAACACTGCAGGTTGCTCTTGACCAACACGTTGCGGCTCTTAAGGTCACGGTGGGCGATGGCTGGTTTGCCTTGAGTGCCAAAGATCTCTACATGCAGGTGCGCCAGGCCGCAGGCGGCGGACACGGCCAGCCTCAGGGCCAGCTGCGGCTCCAGCGGCTGCCTCTGCAGGAAGTCATAGAGGGAGCCGTGCTCGTGGTAGTGGGTGATGAGCCACAGCTGTGTGCTGGAGTTCCGCGACGTCATGTCGGAGGCGATGAAGCCTGTAAGCAGGGGGACATCAGTGCCCAGAGCTGTGTGTCCGCCAGCCCTGAGCTAAGGGGCTTGGGATGCCAGGCCTGGAAGAGCAGCCGCGTGCCCAGCTTGCCTAGGATGTTGTCGTGTCTGAGCAGAACCGTATTGTAGATCTCGGTCTCCCGGAACCAGGACTGTTCATCTCGTGAGGAGAAAATCTTGACCGCTACGCTCTCGCCGTGCCACGAGCCACGCCACACCTCCCCGTATCGGCCCTTTCCTAATCCAAAGGCCGAGGAAGAGCAAGGATCACACACTAGATGCGCATAGTCCAAAGTGCCCACCCCAACTCCGGATGCTCCGAGACCCCCTTCTCACCAATGGAAATCTGATTCTTTCTTTAAAGACAAGGTCTCACTTGTCTGGCTGACTTGGAACCTGCTATGTAGATCAGAGTGGCCTTGAACTCACAGAGATCTGCTTGCGTTTGCCTCCTGAGTGCTGGGATTAAAGGTGCATGCCACTGGCCGCCGCCACCGCCACCACCACCACCGCTATCACCGCCACCACCACCGCCGCCAGCTGCCCTTTAAATTTTCTTAAATTACATTTATCTATCTATCTATCTATCTATCTATCTATCTATCTATCTTTATCTGTGTGTGTATGTAATACACACTGACTAGGATCACATAGGGAAGTCAGAGGACAGCTGTGGGAGACAGGCCTCTCCTTTCACCGTGTATACCCTGGAGACTGAGATAAGGCCATCAGGCTTGGTAGCAAGTGCCTTCACCTGCTGAGCCATCTTGCTCTCCCCAAACCTGAATTTATACATAACTTAATCAACATCCTGTCCCAGCTTTGGGCTATCCTTGGCTTATCATCCTTGCAGGAGGACCTAACCTTGGCCTATAACCTGCCCAGCAAAGACCTTTATTCTGGTCCAGGCTGGACCTGCTCGTGATCCTGGAGCCCAAGAGCTTCCCCACCTCTCCAGGCTTATGGGAGCCTTTGGTCCCCGTTGCTAGCTCCCTCCCTGCTTACCCACGCACTCCACCAGCGCAACCTGCCGAGCTACCGTCCTCTGCACCAAGAAGGGGAGCCCAGAGCCGCTGCCCGTGGTGCAGTCGCTGTCCAGGAAGTCCTGGGGATGCCAAGTAGCCACTGAGCGGCTGCCCCCAACAGCCACAGCTCCCCCACCCCGTCTCCATTCTCTACCGCTGTCCCCCTGCTGTGTCCCAGCTTGCTTCTCACCGTCACCTTTGGGTGACTCCTGGTACTGCTGCTCCCGTCTGCGTGCCCGCCCTCCACCCTGGGTGCCAGCTTGCCCCAGGCCTATACCCCCAGCATGCTGTCTCCCTGTTCGGATGCCTTCAGGATGAGACTGGACTCGCCCAGGTCACTGTGCAGACGCTGTTTCTCCTGCCTTCGCCGGACACGCCACAAGCCCAGAGCACCCAAGGCCACCAGAACCAGCAAGGCCAGCATGGGACCCAGGATCAGAGGCAGCTGAGCATCTGCTTCCGGCTCCTCTGAAGGAGTCTGGGTGGCTGCAGGAGAGGGACATTGAGTTCCAGGTCCGTTCCAGTTCCAGCTCTCCCGACCCCGGGGCAGGCCGCTCTGACAGTCAGACCCCAGCACCGCCTCCCCACACCCTGTCCCTGTGGGCGTGGGGAGAAGGCAGGGCATGAGGACAGGGCCTAAGAGGATTAGGAAGAGCGGGAGAGCCGCTGGGCCTACCCTCCAGCACCAGGGTCACGTTGTGGTTGCAGAAGGACTTGTAGCAGCAGTGATGGTTGACGAACTCTGTGGGGCGGCCCAGGCAGGGCTCCTGGTTCAGGCTCCCGCAGCCCCGGTAGACCTGGGGGCGCCTGCCCTGCTCGCGAACCAGCACCACTGTGCACCACGCCCCCAGGCAGGTTGGCCTCTTGCAGTGTGGGCTCTCACAAGTGCAGTTCACCAGGTGGCCCCTGGAAGGCCTCACCAAGTCTCCTGGGAGGCACATGAGCAATCGGGCACTCCTCCTACTGTCCCTTCTGATCAAACCATCAGGCCTCCGTCCTTTCATTCGCTCCCCTGACTGGCCGCCCTCAGAGCCTTGCCCCCAGCCACACAGTCAGTGGAGACTGAGACACCAGCCTCTGTCTACAGCCTGTACCGAGACCTCCTCTCCCTGCCACAGGCCCTGCCCTGGTCCTGGGCTCTCCCTGTTCACACCCCTCCTCCTGCCACCCAAGATGTAGGTCCTGCCCTGGAAGAAGCCTCAGCTGGCAAGTCAGCGTCTCGAAGACGTAAAGGTCTGTAGGAGCCAACTGTCCACCCCCATCCAGGCCCTGTTTCCACGGTGCCCCTCCCATGCTCACCCTGGGTCAGGCCCACGGCCACCGACAGCACCAGGAGGCTCCTTCTGAAGATCCCCAGGGTCATGGTCCTTGGAGGCAGGAGGAGAAGAAATGCCATAAGATCTGCAAATGTGACGGCTGTGATGACCGGGGTGCCCTCCTGCCAGGAGGAAATCACTGGAAGGTTTTGGGGGGAGGCAGGGAAGCCACCTCCCCACTCCTATGTCTGGCTTTAGGGCGGAGCCTGCAAGGGAAGTCCTGGTTCACTTCCCCATGGAAACCATCTGTTGGGGGTGAAGGGTGGAGAGCCGTGTTTCAGTGACAGGCTCTGTGCCCCACGCTGGGTTCAGAGAGGAGCAGGCTGGAGGGTCGCAGGAGGGCACAGCCACGGCGGAAAGAACGTCACTGTCCTAGCTCCTTCTGTCCCCTGCCATCTGCCCACCCTTCTAGCCTCCACCCACCCCTGCCCACCCTTTCCCAAGCCTGGCTGCTTCAAACATAAACAGGCTCCTGTCTTCACTTCCTGCCATTCAGGGTCCCGCCAGGCCGGCAACAGGAATCAAGATTGTTTAGATTGAGGTCTGGATAGAGCAGGCTAGAGTCACGCACAGCAGGGAGCTCAGGGCGGCCAGGAAGGGGTCTACAGGGGCCACCTGCAGCCGGAACAACCATATGTGTGTGTAGAGACCTTAGAACCCATCAACCCCACCTCTGGCTTTATGTCTGTTTGTTTGTTTTAGTTATTCATTATTATTGTGCCCGTGTGTGAGGGCCCTTGTGCCGAGGTACAAGTGTGCAGGGCAGATGGCAATTCTGTAGAGCCATTTTTCTCTTTCTACCTTTGTGTGGGTTCTGGGGGATCAAACTCAGCTCACCAGGGTCATGTGACAAGCATCATCACCCGCTGTACCCGCTCTGTGTGCCCCTCCCCTGTAGCTCTGGCTTCAGAGGAGGGGAGGCTTGTCCAGGGGATGAGGCTTGTCCGGGCTCCATTAGAACTTTCTTGCAGTAACAGAACTCCAGCACAAGAGTCTAGACCCCTCTCCCCAAACTGTCCTGAACCACCAGGGTCAGCCCCTGCCTGTAGCAGCCATGCCCAGCCTGAGGGTACTGACGTCTAACAGGTCTCTGGGACTCCTTCCCTCTTCTTGATGTCCTGGGAAAGGGTTGGGGGAGGGCCAGTGGTATAGGAAGTGAAACACACTTAGGCGCTGAATGTTTGACCTTGGAAACTAGACTGGGGTTTGACTCTTTGAGAAGTTTGATGGAGGAGTGTTTCTGGCGCACAACAGACCCCAACCCAGGACCCAAACTAGCTATTGCCTCAGAACCAAAAGATTGTGCTGACCCTGTAGCAAGCGGGACAGGGGTCACAGAACACAGACTTTCTGAATGGCGGTCTGTGCAGGCTGGATCCCCGGTTAGGGATTTGACAGGAGAAGGCTAGAAAGGCTGGCTGAGTCACAGACTACTGAGGCCCATGTTTCTAATTTCCGTACCAAACGAAGACACAAGATGCTGAGGCTTTGGGGGTCAGGATGTCTAGGGTCAGGCCGGGGGTCCTGGTGGGCTTTTCTGGCTAATGGAGGCTGTGGTCTTCCTGCCTGGGTTTCCTCTGCCCCGGAGGCCCGGTCTGGGGGAGGAAATAGAGGCCTGGGCTATGCAGCTGTGTCCCAGCCTCTGCTGACCTCCTGCCTCTTGCCCCTGTATTAGCCAGTTATGGCTCTGCAGCGGCCCTGTGGGTAAGTGCAGACAGGGCACGTACCAAGCCGAGGGCAGGAAGCCACGACTGGCAGACTTCACCCGCTGGCATGCAGCAAGCCTCCCCCTCCCTGCCTGTCCGAGCGCACCCCTGCCTGTCTGCTGCGTCCTGCAACCTCATGTAGGTCCCCGTGGTCTGTCACCCACTGTCACTGCCTGTCTGCTGCGTCCTGCAACCTCATGTAGGTCCCCTTGGTCTGTCACCCACTGCCACTCATTGCAGGACTCAACCTGTCTGAGACAAGCCAGCAACACACTTGGGACAGGGTACACTGTGGTACATGCCTGTGGTCCAGCCTTGTGGAGGCTGAGGCAGGAGGATCGGGAACACTATCGGAAGACTTAAGATGCTGGGGCCAGCCTCGGTTATGTAACAAGACATTTCTCCAAAAACAAAAAAAACAAAAAAAAACAAAAAAAAAAAAAAAAAAAGAAGAAGAAGGAGGAGGAGGAGGAGGAAAGGAAAGCATGTGTTTATAAACGGTTCCACAGGGAATTCTGAGCCGTTTGGGTGGGCTCCGGGCCTTGAGAACTGAGCGGGCACAGAGCCAGGCCTGTGTGCTGTGCTGCTGGGTGTATGGACATGGGCCGAGGACGGAAGGGACTCTTACTTCATTCCCAGGGGCCTCCCTGTTCCGTGGGAAGAAGGAGAAGAGCACAAGAGCAGGGACTTGGTGGCACCACAGAGTGAGGGTGAGTATGGACGTGGGCGAAGAGTCTGCTCTATGTGCCAGCGGCATACCGAAAGGTTGGCAGAAGTCACGCTGGTCCAGCCCGGGGGACGTGGTGCAGCTGACCACATCCCTTCTCGGGTTAAGCGTGCGGTGGGGTGGGGTCGGGTGCCGGGGTCTATAGCTTCCCTTTTACTCCTTAGCAAACTTGCAGCAAACTCCTGCACACAGAGGCAAAGCCAGAAATCACAGATGTTAAGTGACTTGCAAGAATTAACTGGACGCAGGGAAATAGGAGCAGACACACTGCCCCGAGTTCTCCCTCTCCGCCAGGCACTGAACTTTCGTGGTTTGCCTCTTCAGAGCCTCACCACACTCCTACAGGAAATGACTCTGAATACGGCTTGGTGAACTTGAGTGGCTGACAACAAACCCTTCCTTAATCATTGCTGCTCCTCTGTTTGGGGGCCCTCAGAGGAGAGGGAGACAGTATGCCCCACCCCGGGTCCCTGCCTGGGGTCCCTGTCCCGAAGCCCTCCTCGGGTTCCACTGCATGGTGTCCAGAAACCGTCTGCTCATTGCTAGACTTCTCTGGGTTTGAGCCTCAGGTGAGGACCCAGGGTGGACCATGCTGGACTGTGGCTGTCCGTCTTTTCCCGGCTTCCATCAGCAGCAGGGATTGCGCACTCAGTGACTGTCCCAAGGCAGAAGAGTGCTCTGATAAGCTCAGCTATCTTCCACACTCTGCACTCGCTGACCTCCCAGACCAGCCGTGCGCATGGCTGCCTTCAGTGTCCATCTGCATATTCCACTAAGGCTAGAGGGGCGGGGTGTGGTAGAGCCAGCCAGGATGTTAGAGCCGTAGGCATCTGCAGAGGGGCTCAGTGGAGCTGTCCCCCTCATCTGACGGGGATGCACCCCAAAGCACCCTGGGGTGTGAGACCACAGGGCCCAAACTGCCTGTCCTCTTCTCCCCACCTATAAAGTACCTGCAGCAGAGTTCAACTGAGCATGGAAGACATTAGCGTTAAATAGAAAGTAGGATATCCACAGTCATGTATTGTAGCACTGAGCTTTGTCTTTTGACTTAAAGGAGGAACCTCGAAGCTTCGCCTTGCATCTGAGTCGCCAGAGCCACTGCACTTGCACTTTGGACCATTATTAAGTGAAATATAAAGGTCACTTGCTCACAAGCACAGCAATACACAGTCGGCATGATAACCCTGACAGCTACCGGGTGACTAATGGACAGGTAGAGTATACAGCGTGGATACGCTGGACAAAGCGATGATTCATGTGACAGACAGGGCAGGTGAGATGAGGCTTTACTGCACTCGGGAGACAGGATGGATTCAAGTCTTTGAAATCCCCTGTTTCTGGAAGTTCCCGTTCAACTGTCTCCTCACGGCAGTTGACAGTGACCACTGAAATCACCTGCAGACAGGGAGAGTCCTGTGATGACAGAGGTCACACACGGGCCCTGATCAAGCTTGTACTTACAGCCGTGAGATGGGCGTGAGAAGAGCCTTGTCCTAGGTGAGATGCAGAAGGTTTCCTGGCACGGAGGAGGCACTTAGTGCTGCTAACAGCTCAACCACATACCCGTAATCCCACCGCTCAGGGGCCTCCTGATGAGGCAGGGGAAATAACACGCTAGAGCTGTCTGTCTAGCGTGTTCTGTCTCAAATGTTCTGTCTCAAAGAGAACAAAACGAACAACCCAACCATGGTGTGTCCTGCTGTCACTACCTGGTGTCCTCCTCACGTTTGTACAAAGCCTGAAGCTGGGCACAGTGGCCTCCCCCCTCACAGGGTGTGTGAGAAAAAGTACTCACAGCATAAAAGTACTCACAGAATAATTGAGTAGACAGGTGGGGGGCAGGGGGAATAGTGAGGGGTCAGAGAGGGGACCCCAACTAGCCCAGAAGCTGCTCATAAACACAGGAGCATGCCCTCCAAAGGAAGGCCTAAGAAAGCAGCCAGCCCGGAGCAGTGCTCGGCCCAACCTCGGGAAGGCTAGGATTCCCTTCAGCCTGGATGTACAGGACACCAGGGCAGGGGACTTCTGTGGCCACATCGGGCTAGGCTGTGTGAGGAGGTTCAGTGGCACAGAACATCACCCCTACATTAATCCAGCATCCTGGAGGGCCGTGGGAGCTCAGCGGGGAAGAACCCGTCTGCCCATTTCACTATTACAATAAGCATACAAGAGACAGTTAAGTGAGTGGCTCTGGCTTGGGGAAGAGAAGCTAAAGGCCTTAAAAGTTTTTGATTCCTCATGCAGATTTGTCAGGCTCCCTCCCAGTCTCAGGTAGGTAAAAGGAAGGTGACTGTCCACACCAAGGGACTCTGGCTCTCTTGTCCAGCTAAAACTGACCCTGCCTTGCCCCCTCTGAGAGGTCTCACGAAGGAGGGTCTCCTGAGAAAAGAAACTGGTCTCCCTGCTTGGCCCAACGCGACCCAACTCACCTTCGGACGGATCGACAGGACCCCCCCACCTCTCCTTCTCGGAGGAGGCAGCCGGGGTCTCAAGTCCAGAGCCGGCCTGGGGCCCGGGAAGGGCTCGGTCCGCGCGGCTGGCGCGGCGGCCTCCCGGGACTGGGAAAGGGCTGGAGCAAAAATGTTTCTTATTCTAGCTTCTTCCTGCCTGGCCCTGCTCCACCACTCCCTCCTAATAACTCGTTTCCTATTGCCCAGCACGCCTCCCGGCAGCAGGGCCCGTCGCTCCACAGGGCTTGCAGACCCCGGTGTGGTCACCCCAGCCACCCCACCCCCCACTCACGAAGGGGCCGGCCTCCAACCCAGACCTCGGGGTCCTGGGCAGGGCCACAGGGACCAAGCTGGCAGCCGAGGCGTCACCCGGGACCCCCAAAAGGGAAGAAGGTAGTACGCACCGAGAG